GAACCATTGTGCATCCTCTGCAAATCGCCGCATAACATGCACTGCTCTGCACATCCTGTAACTCCACATCAAGAAAACAGAACTAATGATCCTGCTCCTGATCCTACAGAAGTTAATTGGAAAACTATTGCCCTAATGATTGTAACTGCAGTCATAATTTTCCTCATTTGAAAGATAATCTGAGAAAAACTGGTATCAGAGCTGCATTACTTTGTTGTCATTACTACATAGAGTAGTAATCGCCTTACCACAGAACGTGTTTCAGTGGCAGGTCCCAAGCTCCATATGAAATACTAAAACAAACTGGCTTCTTCCTTCATTTGGTGATTGTTCAACGGAAAAGTCACAAAAGCCATCGCTCTTTTCCCAGAGATAAGAAATAATCTCCATAATCTGACTTCTATCACTATTTCTAATGAAAAAGATTCTAGTATCCAAAAGAGCTTCTGAGCTGAGCGCGAGATGGCATTACTATTAATGCGCTTAATTCAAATACTCATGCAGCTCTCATCTACTTTAGTGCTACTCACCTGATGATTTCCAAGCTACAGTGGTCTATAAACCAACCGCAAAACACAAACACGTTCCCACCAAGTTGGCAGGTTTGAGCCATTGCCTTCAGGCAGGCAGAGCCAGGAGCTGGCTCTCGAATGCTGCCAATGCCCAATTCAGGTATTTGTCATTATAACAGTAAAAGCTTTTATAAAACATTTAAATTTATTCTACCTGAAGGCTAAGAATTTTCTTTATTTTATCATGACATCTCCTCCTGCCAAGCAATAATGGGATATAAAGTAGGCCACAGATTTCTTTCTAAAATGTTGTGTTCTTTGATTTTGAAAAGTTAAAAAACACTCGCTCCTGCCATACTCCTGAATGCTTTACATTGAAAGCACGCTATGCAAACTTCAATTATCCTGTTTTGTTTAACTTTCTCCAAAACCTTACTAGCTTATATTCTCATCAAAATTCTCACAGTGCCACCTTTAAGATAAGCATTACCTGCATTTTAGGAGTAAACCATGGCAATTTATCCAGCACTCAAAATTCACTGCAGTTTGAGTCTTCCCCTCTGTTCCACCACAGGTCATGGACCTCCTCTGAAAATCTAGCTGTTTACTTTGGGCATCTGGCTCATACGAGATTTCCATCCAAACAGAAATATTTTCAGAAACATTTAAGTAATTTATATAACACAACTCCACTTACAAGAACAGTTGTCTTTCAAGGAGACTACCACAGCCAGTTTATGTCATGTAGATATTTGGACGGTACAAAATAATCACCGCTCCAGTTAAGCTGCACCTTTTTCCATAACGTCTGATTCTGCCCTTTGAGTTTAGATACTTGAAGTACTCACCTATCCGATTCTTTGAAGGTCTTCACTAGCGTAGAATAAATATTTTGTTCCCTTCTTAAAGCAAGGATCAGCTTTTCATATTCAGCTTCTTTATTCTCCTAAATTAAAACAAGGACATACAACGCTTACAATGTAATTTTTAAGTTTGCATGTCTACATCCACATGGACATTTGTGTCCTGAAGAAAAGGTGAAAGAAGCAGAAATCCAAATTTGCTGAACAAGACTGCCCACCTCCAAAGCCTAACATCAGTCTGGAAACTACTCATGGTACTGAAAACCAGCTATTATTAAAGGAGTCAAACAGCGTTGCACTATTTTCCTACCATAAGAGTCACATAAGAGTGGTTCGTAATTTTTATCACTTTCATCACAGTCTAAAAAGCTTTTCGCTCGCCCCCAGCATCCTCACTTCCAAAGTTTACACCTTAAGGACACAGAAACATCCTGGCAGGAAGCTCCTTCAGAGGAGGCGAAGGGAAGCAGAGAAGCCCAAGCTCCAAGCACACATTTTAGAGCATCGTCCCAACAATCCTCTCTGTATTCTGGATAAAATTGGCTTGCTTTGAGGGAGGAGTTTCTGCAAGTTCTGTCCCATTTCTGACCAAAAAGAGCTGCAGCAAGGCAGCAAATGAAGGATGAACATGTCAGATACTCGTCGAGTCTGCACACTCAGCTGGGTCACTACGAGCTGCTTCCTTACTCGTGCAAAGAAAAGAAAATTGTTTACCTGCAGTGTTGCTCACAGAAGGTATAACATCATCATTACTGTTAGAATAAATCCAGGCTCTTATGCTACATTCTCAGTAAGGATTCACTAAGTTCCCAAGACTTTTTTCACTCCAAAACAACCGCAGTCACTTTTTTCAGCGGGAGGCAAAATAATGCAGCTATTTAAAGGAGTATTTGCCTGCACTTATTACATAAAAATATATAAGATATCAGCCGCCTCAGAAGAGAAAATAACTGGGATATCTACAGCAAATGCAGATGTATTAATGTCAGACACTCATATTCTGCCTCTGCTCAAGGAGAACAGTTGGCCTTGCTGCTCCTCTCGCTTTTCTTTTTCAGCTGAAAACTGGAAAGAAGAACAAAAAAAGTGCCACAGCTAAGGGGGATGTTTATGGCTGTGGTGTGACGAGAGAGCTCCAGAGAGCAAGAATGAAAGGTAATTCTATTTTCTCCATATTACAACCTCAAGATTGGAAACTAAAGTCTCAAGAGATACTAAATCATTAGTGAACAGATCATTAACAAGGAAGAAATCTACACCCAGGAGTTTTAAGCAGCTGTTTTAACTCCAACTGCAATTCCTAGGGAAGGAACTGCAACAAAAATTCAGCTACAGTAGAATCTCGTTAATTCACACTAACGATGCAAAGACTCTATTAATTTGAAAAATTCAGTATTCTGCAAAGTAAACAGTACAAAAGCAAGGACAACTGTTGTTTACTTTTAATTATTTACACTCATACTTCACAGTATGCTAGCAAGTATGTTAGATAATATTTTTGCAAGTGTAATCAGGTTTTGATCAAATTACTCCCATTAAGGTGATCTGCATGGCAGAACTTACTGCAGAAAGAGTAGCTTCTACCACCTGCTGTTACTGACTCCTTAAAGAAGTGACCTTGCATCACGTTCATCCGCCATCGTTCCCAATGGTAGCTGTCTTCTAACAAATGTTTCCAGGTTCCAGTGCAATTCACACATCAAACACAACTCTGTATATGAAGTGCCAAACACTGAGCTTCATACCAAGTTTATTATCTGGATGAGCAGAGGAGGAGCACACAGCAACGGCTTCTGCTGACTGAGTGCTGAGAAACACCACAGCAAACAGATGGAGGTGGGTGATCCAGAGCCCATTGATAAAAAAATCGCACCAAAAAAGCATGTAATAAAAGCACATCTTACAGCCTGAGTTAAGAATTCTCATCAATGTGTTGGAATCTCAGCCTTTCAAAAACAGCCACAAGACATAAAATACAGATTGCAATTTAACTTGGAAAGTTTGATCACAATGACACTGAGCGATGACATAAAAAGCAACAGGAAGAAATAAATCTTTTGACTTAATTTAGTCCGTTAACAGCCTGCTAAAAGTTCTAGTGAACTCCTCCATATGTCTGATACCAGCCTTGCAATTATTCCTGACGACACTACAGAACTATATCCTAATTAAAAGCTCTTTCAGAAGCACTGGCAAAGCAATGTCACTCTGAAGAGTTTACGGTACAGAAATTAGATAAGGGTTGTCACCAATTGTTCAGGCTCTGTCACTGCTGCATTAAAGCAGTGTCACACACAGAACCATGCTCCGCTTTCCTATGTTTCTTTTAGAATTCACATATTCATTTTGTTCTACATTTGCACCAAAATCTCAGTAAATTCATGAAATCTTCCCTTTTTTTGTTTTCCTGCGTAACGGGAGACATGAGCTGTTTCTTAATTCGAATGTCACAGGCTATATACAAATTATTAGGAACTCTAAATTCAACTAGCTGGGGAGACGTTAGCAAAATCACGAAGAAATGTTCTTGATTTCTCAGAATCTTTCAGGAATAATAAGGATGAGAAGATAGAGCGTGAACATCTCTCTTTTTCTTGTACATTACTGTCATTTCTAAATAAAGCGTAGGAGTGAATTATTCCAATCAACTCCCCAATGGTACACAAAACATAAGGCAGCTCTGTAACTTAAATAGACCATAATGCTGTGGGAGTTAATGAAACATTAAACCTCTTGACACATGGTGTGACGGAAAATGTGTTAGAGGAGATAGCTGCAAGACATCCAGGACCATATTGCAGTGAAAGATTTATATTCCCATGAAAGGAGGCAATCTAATACATTAAAGTCTATATTTAAGTCTGAAATACTATTGCTAAGCAGCAGTGGTGGAAAACATTACTTATTTTCATTAAAGGTTTCTCAAATTGTAAGCAATGAAAGTAAAAGCTCTATACCTCCACAATAAATAACTTACTGGCCAAGTCACAGGAATACCCAGTTGCCTCGCTGTACACGCTGTTGCTTACAACAGCCATCAGGATCATTTCAAAATCTCTGAAGTCTAAAGGATGAATGATGGGGACAAGGCCATAACCTACACCTCAGCACTGATCCATCCATCCACCAGTACCAGGATCTGGTAATTTCTTCTAACATCGCAGTAAACTTTATGTATGGTCTACTATAAATGAAGCAAGCACTAGTAAGATTAATTGTTACGGGCCACTGAGTCACACATCTAAAGATGAAAATTACTGCAGCATAAGACTTCGTTGGTGACTTTTAGGAGACATCTCAGCCACAGAAAATGTCACAAAGCTGATGGCTCTGAGGAACTTATGGCACTCCTTGGTGACACGCGAGGCAAGAGTCCTGGACTATGTACTGCAAATATCGCTTCACCAGGCTAACTCCTTCAAGGTGAAATTTCTGCTAATACAGAAATGGTGAGCGACACCAACCACATCCATTCCCGTCACCAGGCCGTGCTCAGTGTCACAGATAAAATAATCATGTTTGAAGTGTGTGAAGAGATGGATGGTGACAAAAAACATTGCTGTTTGCAGCTATAAGCTAATCTCATCAAATCAGAAATTGAACAACCGCCTTGTTTATGCCTTCACAACATCAATTTCAAGAGACTGAAAGCAACAACTACAATGCACTGATCACTATTTAATAGACAGGACACTTGTATTAAAAAAAGTCAACTACATCACCTGCTGCAATCACGACGACTCAGCAACAACGCGCACACTGCATCAATTTCAACAGCGAAGATGTGTGCACTACTGCCACAACTGCACCAGCTCCAACTCTCAGGACACCCATCACCTGCAATGCTCTTGCGACATCAGTAACTTCATGCACTGACTACAATTTCTCCGTTGCAGCAAAATAGCCATCACTGTTGTGTGCATACAGTGTTCTTCAGTTCCCTGACTGCACAGTATTAACTCCCTAAATGGAGGAGTAATTATAACCAAAGTCAAATAATGTGCTGATCATACAGGAATAAGAAAGCACCTCGTGTCTGCAGAAACATCAGATTTGCCTTGCAGGGTATCTGTATTTCCTACTCCACCCTCAAGTGGTACATAAGCTCCCCCTCCCAAAAACAGACAGCATGGAAAGGCTCCATTACAGCAAATGTAAATTGTTGGGTTTTTTTACATTTAGAGAAATCAATTTAGAATTGAAACTCTTATCACTGTGCCCGCCTTCCCACAGCGTACGCTGTGTGGGAGATTACATGTGCAACACAACAGAATCCAGAAGCGCAGCTCAAGGACTGAACAAGATGCACTTTTCTCAATTTTGCTGCTTTTCTCGGTAATAAAATGAACCACAAAGGTCTAAAAATACGTGTTAGAAATGTATTTACCTAACATGTACTCCAACAAAAAGAGCTTTGTAAGTATAGGAGTATTGGTTGTGAGGGAAGAGCATTAAGCACAAAACCAACTGAAGTTTCCAAAATTATAAGGGGTCCACTGCACTTCTAAATTCCTTGGCTGTAAAATGTATTTCACTCCAAGACTCCATAGATACCAGAGTCAGCAGTTGCATGAGTAACCTAATTATCAGTGCCCTCGCACACTCTCCCTAGCCCACGACAGTGGCTCAAGAATCCAAAGTCTAATTAGAAACTGTCATTTATCTTCCCTGGCCTGGCCAAGGCACCCAGCAGAGCTTTGGATGTTGGTTGCTTTAAAATTTATCGTGCCATTAAAATAAAGTAAAACGGGATGATGAAAGAGAGAAAGTTCTGCATCTCTCAATTTCGTTTCTTCAACTTTAAAGATCAGTGAGGCTGGCAGGGCTTGGTTTCTGCTCTCTCTGGTGGGGAGGGTCCAGCTGTGCGTTTGTTGAGAGTTGGTGCCGCACTGTAAAGTCATCAAAGCGCCCAAAGCAGCCAATGAGAGCAGAGCCCTGGATAATCTGTGTCCAAAAACTTGTGATTAATATGCTGAAATGGGTCCTTGCAGGAGATACCTTACACAGAGGTTGAGCCGAGAGGACAATGGGTTGTGATTAGGTATTGTTCCCAATCACGAAGTGAACCAGCAGTAGAGAATGAGTTGTGATTGGAAGGTGGGTGCCGGGTCATTACCATGCATGGCTTCGCTTGCCGCTCTTCTCTCTCCTGGTTATACCCCTGTGTCAGACGTGGGGTGTACAGAGGAAAGTTACTGTTTGATTTTCATTAATTCTGCACGATCTTCCATCACTCCTAGGTCCCTTTGTGACAGAAGTTACGTGCATGCACTGCAGTTTGTTTTACAGAGGCAGAATTTCTACTCCACCTTTCACAGACTTTATTTTCTCTGCATGTATATTCATATACACATTTTTGATATACTCTGCACTGGCACCCTGGCAAACAGTGATGCAGCTCCTTTACTCCGAGCTTACTGAATACCCCGTGACCCAAAGCATGCCTCCATCAACCTTGTCTAATAGTAGTGCCCATAACATATTAAGCACCTCATCACCAGCGTGTTCAGAACGTGACACAAGACATAGCTCTCATGTTTCCTCTGCTCTTGGCTCACTTTATTTTAAACTACCTTGACAACAACTCATTAATGACTGATTTATTATTAAAGAAAGGAAACGGCTTTCTCCACCATTAATACGTACCAGACTAATTCTTTCTACGCTGCCTGATGCTTTTGGAGATGTTAACATAGTAGGTTGCAAACAACAGAAAAAAGACAAGAAAGGTATCTTCAAAAGTAGCTTATTTGTTCAGTAATCTGTACACAATACTAAAAAACACACTGATGGAGTCACCAAGTGGCTCAAAACCTTGTCTACAGTACTTGACTTTTTCTTTTTTGCTGCTGGTGAAGCGGGAAGGAGCTAACTCTACATTTTAAGGCTTTGAATCTTAACCTCCAGTTTTGTGTACTAAAGTCTTTTCAATTTATGGCATCAAATAAAATAATGGACATATATTGTCTACCTATTTAATATATATATTTTTATGTACTATTTCCTTTCTTCTTTGCTTTAAAAGTAGTTTTCTTCTTGCCCTAGACATATCTTCACTCCTACCTATATTTTTTATCCTCACACTCCATTTATCTCCTGCTGTCACTAGCTGTGTGCAATCTTTCCCCTTAGGTATCAGAAGTACATAAACTCTGCACCTCTCTCCAGAAACACAGATACCCACTGTCTGAGGGAAATAAGTCTACCCTAATGACCACAAAACTCTCTGTCTTTATGACAAGCACAACATTTCACACACTTTCTGAGAGTAGAGTTTAGTGATGCCACATAAATTCATCAGAGCACAACATTATGTACTCTTATGATAGCAGACCAACACCACCACAGACAACAAATCATATGACACAATTATTAATAAAGTCATGGTTATAATTTTAATAATACGGAACATTTTGTGACGGTCTTGATCTGAAGGAAAAACAGCCCCCTGCTACACGGGTGAATTACAACATATGAGTCCGCACCTTTGAAGCCAACATCAAAATTCTCTTAGATTTGAAGTCAAGGTATTTATCTGCAAATGATCAGTTGTGAAAAACTCACCTCCAGCTCTCTGACTATTTTGATGATTGACTGTTGAGACTGTGCAGCACATTTTTCCTTTACTAAGCCCTCATTTTTCAGTTCAAGCTCTTCATTGGCTCTTAGGAGGTTCTTGTACTTATTCAGGAGCTCCTGCAACTCTGCATCCTTTTCCTTAACTGTTCCATCAAGTTTCTAACAAAAGAAAACAACAAGTTCTACAGAAGTTATTCGAGTTTAATATTGCAAAGTGGAACAAACAAACAAAGTTCAGGAGAATATCCAAGAATGATCAGGCACATGTTCTTTACGTACCTTGCAAAAGAAGAGTTCATTTTAACATAGTAGAAGCAGAAAAAGACCAAACTGAAGCCTTCCCCATCTATTCAGTCTTTTTAAGTGTTAAAAAATAAGTTAAGGCATGCACTCTGGTCTGCAGCTATAGAGCAACCCCAACTATGAGTCTTTGCATTGCTGGCTGAATATCATCACTACTGTTCAGGTTATACATCCTGCTATTCAAAAAATGAGCAGGGGTCCATTAACATTCAGGCAGCTCCCTTCTCACATGCCTTATTTTGAGTGGGCTCAAAGAAAAAAATCACTATCTATACCTATCTCTCAGCTTCTGGTTTCTGCACAATAAACTGAAAATCATAGGCACTTCAGAGCCTTTCAAGTATCTTACCACAACAGTGAAAATACTACATAAGTATTAGCAAAGCTTTCTTCCTCCTCTGTCCGCACGCTTCATAAAACCCTAACAAGAAATCTGGTTGAATGCCACACACTCTATAATTATATGTCTCTTCTGCAAATACGGTATTATAAAAAGTGAAGGATTATCATCAAAATCAACAGTAACTCCAAATACAAATGTGATTCTGTAATAATTCCTCATACAAAATCAAACAATAACTTTCCGTTTTTCATTTCAACTTAAGTCTTCCTACCTGAAGCTGTAGATCCTTTTGATTGACACTGTCTGTCAGCCGCTTGATAACCAGTTCTTGGCTCTGCAACTTCTGATTGCTTTCACTCAAAAGAATATTGTAATGATGTTCAGCTGCTTTTTCTTTCTCAGTCATTTCACCATGTAATTTCTCTAGTTGGTTTCTAAGGTCCTACAAAAAATTAAACTGAATATTTAGCAAATCAACTTTAAAAAAAACTTTTAAGACTAACAACCCACATTATTACCTTAACTTTCCATCACTTTAAATTACTCATATCACTGAATAGTCTGGAAAATGCATTTAAGCCAGTTTCTTTCTCTTGGCATCAATTAATACAATTAAAGGAAGAAAACTTTTAGACGAGATGTCAGTATAGTCTTCTAAAAATCCAGGTTGTTATTGTGTAAGTGCTTTTCATAGAGAATGACTGGACTTCAAGGCTGCTGGGAATATCATGCACGTAGATGTTACTGTTGTCAGAATGAAAACTCACTTCTGAGTCAATTTACTCCTCTGCTAGAAATAGGAGAAAATTGGTTACGGGTGATTCAGTTTGTCATTTGCTCTTTTTCTCATTGCACCACGGCAATTCTTGCACTAACATTGCGTTACTAGTTACTTTTCCATCAAAGAAAAGGTCAGAAATGTTAAAACATTTTCTTTCAACAAGAGCACAAACTTCAAATGACCAATCAGGCCAGCATATGATTAGAAGTTATAAAGAGGATTTTCTCTTGATTCTGGCCCTGTTAATGACTTCCTGCAGCTCCATGATTAGTTGCATCATCTCCACATCTCAGTTCCTCATCAGAGTAACACCGACTTCTTGTCAATTTTGCTTCTAAAACACAGAACAATCCCTTTCAAAAGCCTAATGCAGTCACAGTCCCGAAGGGCCCTGAGATCTGTTCGGACCAACATGGAGTATCGCAATGTAAGAAGCAGTTTTCTCCTAGTTCATAGGTTACGCACTTGATGCACACCACAACTACAACTTCCTCCTCCGCGTTCCTACAGATCCTGTTCCACTTCACCTGAAAAATCTGACATCTCAAAACGTAGCTGTCTGTGTCAAAGGGTGTCAAAGTCCGACCTGACAAAACCTTGGGTTCCAAGCAATAACGTGAGACAATTCCTTTTCCTTACGTTTCGCTATGCACTGGCTAAGTTGATGGAGATACATCAATTATCACATCAATGAAATTATTCACATGCAATTAATAGCCAGTTCTAATTGCAGAGTGGAACAGATGCAAGAGCACAGGGCAGGAGAAAAGCCCATAATGTGTCCTCTCTGCCCTCCCAGCTTCTCCCCACCACCACGGTCAGTGTCACTTCAGACCGTTTTGCTAATTTCTTGGAAGTCTCAGCACTGTCAATTGGAGGAGGCACAGCGTGCATACACACGAGTCTCATTTTACAAGCTTTAACTCTGCAAGGAGATCTAGAGCACTTACTGCACAGATTGCGTGCAAAAAGAGAAGGAGAAACCTGTAACAAAGGAGCCATTGCCTAAAAATAAACAATTAAAACTTGCAGAAGACTTTATACCTGCTAAACTTCTCTTCAGTCCCAAAGAACCAGGTAACACAGCCTACACCTTAAAAGAAATGTTTTCCATTTATTCCCAAAAAGGGCCCATTTGTGAAGTACCATAAGCCCTTTAAATAGTTTGCACATATGGTAGTCACCTATAAACTTTACATTTACCTCCACTGGGATTTAAAATTCAATAGTTGTTTCCTATCCTAAGTACAAAGAAGTAGAACCAGTGACACTTTAATTGCAATCTCTTTACAAACTGTTTTATATCCTTTTCTTGACTTAATTACCTTGCTTCACATCAAGATGCAGGTTCACATCAAAGCCTTAACATCATTTTACTACTTCAGTGTTTTACTTCTGCTTATTTTGCACATTAAATACAAAT